ACTGGTGGCACAGTACAAGACACTTGGAAAAGAACAGAGATGAAGGAAGAAAAGTTCTTTATCACCAGATGTAAGCAAATTATTTGACTTTAGCCCTGGCTGGCGTAGCTCAGTGGATTGAGCATGGGCTGGGAACCAAAGTGTCCCAGGTTCGATTCCCAGCCAGGGTACATTCTTGGGTTGCAGGCCATAACCCCCAGCAACCGCACATTGATGTTTCTCTCTCCCTCTCTCCCTCTCCCCCCGCTTCCCTCCCTAAAAATAAATAAATAAAATCTTTAAAAAAATTATTTGACTTAAATTATATAGGCTATAAAAATGAAATAGAGAATGAAAAGAAAGAACAAAGTCAAAGAATTCAGAAAATAAAAAGAAAATAGGCAGAGGCCAGGTCAAGAGGGGCTTTTACAGGCCACGGTCAAGGTATTCGATATGTCTAAAGCCCAATGGGAAGGCACTGGGAGTGACAGAATTGCCTTTTAAACAGTTAAGATTGATGGACCAAAGTTGTACATGTGCTCCTTTCCCTCCTGAAATTACACTGAAATAACAATAGAACAATAAAAAGCTATAAACCCTAAAGGACAAAAGAGAATAGAAGAGGGCACAGGAAATAACAAAAGACCAAAAGCTTCAGTAGGTTTAGAAGACAGAAGCAGGTGAAGGAGTAGAAACAGCTGAGCAGAAGGAGCTAAATCTCTAGAGCAATGGTTCCCAACCTTTTTGGTACAAGGGACTGGTTTTGTGAAAGACAATTTTTCTGTGGACCAGGGCAGGGATGGTGGGAATAGTTTTGGGATGATTCAAGTGCATTACATTCAAGATCATGAGAGAAGGAGGTTCCTTAACAGGTCTGGACCAGTACTGGTCCATGGCCCGGAGGTTGGGACCCCTATTCTAGAAGGAGACAGCAATGGAGAAGCAAATGCTTCACCTCCAGAGCCTGAGAAAAAAACAGAAATGGAGATACTTTGTACTGATTCTGCAGATATGGGGTGGGGTGAGAGGCTAGAAGGCATGTGGCTGGAGTTGATATAATACTTAAGATATCTTGAGGCTCATGTCTCCACCCACACAACTGTTTAATCAGATCGTTACCCCAAACTTGGAAATATGAGTTTATACCTGAAGATATTAAACTAGGAAGGCTCCAACCCAAGACATCAAAAGTACAAGAAAACAGAGACCCTAGAATGAAAATGGAGGACTAAGTAAAAGCAGGCAGATTTTAATTATTACACCTCATCCCTAATGAAAGATTATATAGTCCCTCTCTGATATTTAGGGGTGCTCCAATTCAAAATACCCTGAACCACCCTTCAGTGAAGTCTGCTGGTCGTAAGTCTAATTAATGTACTTGGAACTTCAACTCCATATTACATTGCTCTTAAATACAAGTGAAGAGAATTTATATTTAATCATTTATGTCAGCAGACAATTGAGACAATCCTACAGCATGAAGAACAACAACTAAACAACAACGAAGAGGAATTTATTCAGAGAAAAAACTCAAAAATGAAGCAGGGAGAAGTTAAAAATACATTAATAACATGCTTAGGGAATTAAGCACAGACTGTATATCCATAAAATAAGAAACAAAAAAATCAGTAAGCAAACAAATATGCATATTTTAAAACTATAACAGCTAATAGCTGAAACTGTAGTAATATTACTAATAGAAGACTCAGGAGAGAAAGTCAAAGAAATCTCCCCAAAATTAAAGGATAGGGAGTAGGGATGATGGAGATGAAAATAGAAGAGAAACACAAATTGGAGATTCAATTTGTGAATCAAAATCTAACATAAAATCCAACATAAATGTCAAAAATCCAACATAAATGAGTTCCAGGAAGGGACTACACAGAAAAATGTAAGACAGAGAATTACTGAAGGAATAAACCAATAGAATTTCTCAAAATTTAACAACTCAAAATAGAGTCTCTGTTTGAAATGCCTATTGAGTACCTTTCAGGATGAAAAAACAAAGTGAACACAATGGAAAAAGAGAAAACACTAAACCTTCAGAATAATGAATCAGGTTGAGGAAAAGGGTCTGAAGTCATGATGGAATTAAACTTCTCAGTAACAACACCCATCCATGCAAATCAGAAGTCTGGTCATCATCATCACCAGTTGGAAGTGGTGATGGCATTTTTCTGAATTAAGGAATACAGGAGCAGGCCAAAGTGAGTAAAAGAAGTTAGAATTGGGCTCTTATGAATCTGAGCTAACTATAGAACACAGAGAATGAAGGTAGGGATTTTTTTAGCTAAAAATATTGTTGTTAATATTAAAATATTAATAAAATGTTATACTTTATTATATTAATAAATATAAAACACAATAATTTTATACTTAATAAAATAAAACAATGTCATTATAATAATACTTATATTGTATATAATAATTATTTTAGATATAATAATATATTTAGTTATAATGATAATTTTCATTAACATTTTAATGTCCCCAGTATTAAAATTTAACATTGGTCATCATCCTAACCAAGCTCAGTTGTTTTGAGATTTCCTTATTTACCCACCCTATTAGTTTTTGTCTTGCGGGTTAATATTGGAAATTATAGTCTCAGAAATGATTCCCAAATTCCCCTTACTCTAGGAATTATCTCTGCTTAAGGAGATAAATCCCACCCCTCCAGATGTTGCGAGGGGCAGGGGCACCGGAAGGAGAGAAAGTAAGAATTCGAAGAGGACTGAGCAAGCAGGGAAATGAATGTCCAAAGTTATCATTCAAGAGGCTGGGTTAGCTCACAAGGGAATTCTCTTAGGTTCTTCCCCTCCAATCCAATTCTTCCTCTACATAACCCAGAGGTCATCAGAAGGAAGTTGTGACAGAGACCCTTATGGCTTATATTTTTCGACTAACAATGCCTCATATAGCACTTCACACAGCAAATTGTGCTCAATAAATGTACGTCTAACATGCTTTCCCTTCCTTTACTGTTTAAGCAATTTCAAAGTGTGGGTGGGGAGGCATATGCAAACCTGTCCTGTGTGGCTTACTTGTTAGGTAGGCTCTTGCTAGTTGAAATAATTGGCATTTTTTTAAAGATTATGGATTGAAATTCTTGTCATCTTATTCTACATTACTGAAAAAAATGATCTTGAATGCAGTTTCGATATTTCCTAAAACTCTTACTAAGCTGTTAGTAAGTAGTAAGAAAAACTGGTTTGAGTGACCAGCTAATGAACTACGAGATGGTCTAAAGAACAGGGGAAGAATTCAAAACCTCACAGTATTAATTTTAGATGAGAGCCAAAATATTTCAAATAAAATCAGAAAAATTAATGAATATCCACACGAAATTAAGTCTGCTTGTGGTGGAAACAGTAGTTAGAGTAGCAACAGGCCAGGAGCAACATATGCAAATACCAGGAAAGTTATTTTCAGAATGTGTTTACTTAATATTTAGTACTGAAATCAAACATAAGAGGGTCCTATCAGACAGAACTGCTGCATTACTCCACTTGTGCAATGAGAGTCTGTAAGGAGTAGAAGGTACTCATTTGGTCCTCCCACGCAACAGTTTGTTCGCACAGCAAATACAGAGCACAGCACTGCACGGCAGGTTGCTTTCTGTGGGACTGTCTGGGTTGTGGAGGACTGGAGAGCCAGGACGGTTGGAAAGGGCCTTATTAAGGTGTGTTACTTCACTTCAAACATATGGCAGATATTTAATGTTTTTTAATTGACAGTGAAAGTATTTCCTTAGTCAACCTGATCTAAAAAACACCCAAGACAATGTGCAGAAAAAACAAAAGCAAATGAAGCCTGTGGATTTTAGTTTGTCTTAATTCATGATAAAAATAGTCGTAGTTACCAATTGTCCTATGAATCAGGTCAAAATGATTCAGCTAATGAATGCTTACCTACTGAGATGCTATGTCTAATATTTATAGTTAGCTTTGCCACCGTGTCCTTACAGAGGAAATAATTTATCATAAACTTCCAGGCAGTTTAAAATAAGTCTACCTATTTTACTAATAAAAAGATGCTAACAAGTTCAGGATATTCCATATCAAAAATAAAGAATCCTCATCTAATTAAAGGTTAAATCAATCCCCAAGTTATAATATGGGTTGAACTCTGCCTGAAACCAATTTTAAAACAATGTAAATGCATTTGCTGTAACTTTGTGGTATGTGTTCTTTGTGGTAACATTATTCTGTAGCTTTAGCTCCATAATAATTTGCACCCATTTATATTTAAAAATTACAAGAACAGGAAAGTCCAAGAGCCTCATTTTACAGACTGAGATAAAGAACTGAAAGTAATCCCTGCAAGGTTAGGCAGAAGTGCCTGTGATAGATTTTAACGTAACCCTCTACCCCTTTCCTACCCACGCCTCGCCTTTTCGGTATTGAACTCACTTGCAGAAGTGACAAAGGGAGTCACCTGGTGCATTCTCAATCGCCAATTACGGATTGACAGAATTCAGACTATTACTACAAATAACGCATTTCGTTTTGTGACCTCTTAAGAAGGTTAACAAAATCAAAAGCAATCAATTAAAATTTGCCTATTCACTGCATTTATGCATAAAAAAAACTGGTGAATTTCACTACTAGTAACATAAAGACCTCTCATGTTAAATACTTTGTCTAAACCATTATCGTTAGAAATCATTTTAAAATGCTTTCCGGGGACGTCTTTCTTCCTTCTGTGGACGTCTGCTTTGGTTGTTCATCCATACATTTTTAAAATGTAACTTTTTCCATTTGTCTTCCGTTGGAATGACGTTTCATTAAAGTAGATGGGGAGAAAGCACCCATCTGCTGTGAAGTTGAAGGGACTCCAGGGTTGGGGAGGGGGTGGGCTGAGTCTGGGAAAAGTTCAAAGAAAACCGAGATCTCTCCGCCCAGCTGCGAATTAAGACGAGCACCGCGGGCCTCAGCAGAGAGACCAAGCACAGGTGCCCGGCCATCCCCACCCCACCCCGAGTACCAAGCCCGTCGCCAGCAGACTGCGGAAAGGGCGCAGCGCGTTCCAGGGCGAGCGGTCGGGACCCGCGCCGAGCTGCGATTGGATGCGCCGCGTCAGGCACCCGCCAGAAATACAAAAGCGCTGGGAAGGGGAGGGGGCCGTTCTTGCTAGTCGAAGGCTTTGGCTTTATTCTGTCTCCCCGTCTCCTCCCCACTCTATACCGGGGTTCTCTCGGCAGCTCGCCTCGGCTCGCACGCGCGGCCGAGAGTTGGCGCAAGCCTCACCGCTGCCACCTCGCGTGGGTCCCCGCCCAGCCTCTCTGCCTTCCCCTGCTCCCTCGGCTCCTGCCATGGGGCCAATTTGGGGCTCCTAAGAGTTGCTGCCTCTCGGCCACGCGCTCTCCGGCCAAAGTCTCCGGGAGAGTGATATGGCTTAGGGCGCAAAGGCGGGCAGCCTAGAACCAAAGGAAAGGGGAGGGGAAGGTCAATTGTGGAAAAAGAAGCCAAACCATGAGTTACCAAAAGAAGGACCGGGTGAGCACCCTGTGCCAGAAGGCGCTGCACATCATCAACGAGCTGTGTTTCGCCGGCCGGGTGGAGAGGGAGAAGTGCTCGGGCATCATCTCCTCGGAGAGGAGCAGCCAGGGCGCCGGCAGCACAGGTAAGTAGGGGAGAGCTCCGCTCGCGTCCGCGAGCTCCACCGGGACCCCGCGCGCTCCCCTCCAAGCTCCGGGGTCCGGCGCCTCCCGCGCGGCGCTGGGGGCATCTTTAGCGTGCTGCGCCTTCCTACCTCGCTCCTTCCTCCCACTCAGCAGCTGGCTACTTGGAGCGCAGACTGTTCGAGTGTTGTCTCCGAATCTCCATCCGCTGGCTTCTTCCACTTCTCTGGTCTGCTCCTTGCCCGCCGTCTCGTTCCCTGGCTTCCGCACCCCGTCGCCGCGCACTCCCACGCCTCGCGTCTCCCTCCGGAGTGGAGCTGCCAGCGCTGGCGGCGGCGTGGGAACCGCTCGCCTGTGGGACTCGGGCTGCCCTACTTTGTCCCGTGGGTCGCGGGTTGGGGGTCCCGGGCTTGGGGAAGGGGCCGGGCCAGACAATCAGTGCTTGGATGCCAAGAACTACCTTGCACATGGAATTGCCTTGGCCTTGGAAGCCAGGAACCCGGGAAGAGGTAACTCGGAGCTGCAACCTGTTGAGCACTTGGCAGTTTCCAAAACCCTTGAACATAGATGATTTTCTAGGGCTTCGTGACAACGTTGGCAAAATGGCAGGGATTATTGGTTATCCTTTAGGCGACAGCTAAGGCTCAGGACAAATATAGAGTAAGCGGAAGAGAAGGAAAACGTTGTAAATCCTTCCACACACATGCTCTCATACACACCCCGACATACAGGCAAATTCCTACCCCTTCAGGAAACTTGGAAAGAAATGGGGTGGGAAGGAAGAGGACAGCGGCTGTGGAGGCGGAAAGAAATCTCAGGTGGCTGATTTCTCTCAAGAGAAAGCCGGGGAGGAAAGGACCGTCTTAGAATCTCTTTTGGTCACTCTTTCGGGCAAGGGTTTCAACCACCTGCGCAATGGTTTGTGCAGCTGGTGTGCTGTTCACAGAGGACAGACGGACTCTGGATTTGTGGTCCTCAGGGTATCATGAGTCCCCTGTGAGAGTCACTTGTTTTGAGAGATAAACATAAGTTACGGGAATTTGTGGCATTGGGTTGAAAGGTTTCCATTGCTCTTGGAGGGTCTTGTTTTTTCCCCCTTTGCTTTCCTGTCATTGGTTTCCTGGCGGGGCTTTCTGCGTTGCGAGTAGCCAGGGCAACAAGTAAGAGCTGGACCGCTAAGCTCAGGACAAGAGCAACTGCAGAGATCCCGGTGTGCTGGGAAGGAGGCCAGGAGAGCACACCTTAGTGACTGCTCTCCCACAAGCACACCACGAACACCACCAAAAGCAAAGGGAGAGGAGATGGAAGTGGGACGAGATTTGATTTAAATGGAAGGTCTGCAGGATTTTCAAATTCTCTGATTCCAGGTAACAAGGACCAAGAGAAGCTTCAGTGTGCACTTAACAGAACCTGGGAGACGCTTCTCCTTGAGCCCCAGAGCAGTGATGCATAATTGCTGCTGTCCAAGTACGAAAACTTAGATACTTTGTGACTGTGTAATAACCACAACCAAAGTCTTTTCCATTTGTTCAGTAGGTATTAAATTCCTAGGAATATATGAACCTCAGCTATTAGAGGAAGCAACTGGGTGAACATCTCATACATGCATGTCATGTGTGTGATTGCTAAGCATGAGATAAGCTGTCAAAATAGTGTGACAGGGAAGTCCTCTGTGGTGATATTGGCTAAACTCTTCTGAACTGTTTTAGTGGCATGCATGCTACAGATAAGACTCAGAGAAAAGGATACAGTGAAAGAAATGAGACTATTTAAATTTAAAGACCTATTTTCTTGGTCATTTAACAGTTGGTGCTGTGGAGAGATATACTAACTTCTCCCTCTCCTCCACTCTTTGCAATCATACACCAAGTAGTGGTTTCTTGGGTCTTGACTGCTGGTAATGCAGAAAATTTGTGAAGCTTGGAAACCAAATAGTACTATCTCCTGAACCTTTGTAAATGTACAACTCTGTCAGCCTAGGGTAAAACACAGTACTGTATATGAATCATAGAAAGGGTTCTGAGCTTACACTAAGCACTACAAAAAATAGTTGTCATCCTAATTCCCTTTGGACTTTCCCTTGGGAACAAAGAAGAAAGGGGGTTAGCCTAAAACAAAAATATATGGACATTTTCCCCTAAGGGGGAGGGAAAATATATACTATTCAAATGTGGTATTTGATTTAATATATGAGTATATATATTCAATGACTATCACTAGACAACACCCTCAACTAGGCTGTATATGAGATATAAAGATGCACAAGACTTCATTACATTTTCCATTTGTAAATCTGCAACAGAAGTAAAATACTTTAATTGGCAAATAAACTCTGAATATCTGGTAAGTGGATTCTAATATTATTTACCAAGTCTTTGTATGAACTAGCCACTCAGCTTCATGTATTTTCATTTACACACTCATGCCCTTTATTATAGATCCCAAAATAACACTTTCAGTAGGTGATCCTTCCACTCACTGTTTGTTTAATGGGAAGCATGTTACTGGTAGGAGGAGGTGGACAGTGAATGGTACAGTGGTTATTTACTTTGAATGTTAATCAGCACTGCCCAGATGGTGTCAGTTACTCTAGGGTTGCAGTGACAATTGCAGGCTTCCAGATTGTGTATATTTTTAGATTCCTTCACATCAGGGTAGAGGAAGAGAAACTGAGGTAATCGCAATTAAAGTCAATCTACATTAAAGAACTTATGAATCACATATATAAATAAGACATTATTCTGCCAGTTTTTACAATGCCAACAAAGTGCAAGCTTCACCATCCTCTTGACCATAGTGGCAGAAACATCAGCCGTGGTATTGACCTTGAGGAGCTACCAATTAAGTCGACCAATCCCATATTGCAATAAAATTTGTGAAGACTTAGACTGCCATGCAGCTGCCAACACTAGTTAATTCACTCATTTGTAGTAGTTTGTTAAAGATGTTATTGATGTCAACATCACTAGTATACTAGAAAGTTTTTGCAATCTTTTTACCACTGATTCTCTCCCTCCCCTTAAAGAAGTCACTCACTGAATAATCTAATGCACAATATGATTTAATACTAGATTACTTAGGAAAAATGCAAAACAATATATTGGTCTCAAATGTTATTTCTCAGATATACTGTGACTAAATAGATGTAATAGTTTTTAGACTGGATTTGGGCTTGTTTCCCATCAGTCTTTAATTGCTGCTCCATATCCAAATGCTAACGAGGTTTTAAGACACATGTTATAAGAAGAAGGGAAAGGGGCAAACAAAGGAACATGAATAGAGGACTCATGGTTATGGACAATGGGAGGGATTGACTGTGGGAGTTGAGGGGCAGGGTAGGGGAGAGCAGTGGGGAAAAAGGCGGGACAACTGTACCTGAACAACAGTAAAAAAAGAAACTATGTTGTTTGAAAGGCAGACTTCATAAATCATATAGCTAATCGAACCCACTTAACTCATAGTCACATCACAGTTATATAGATATAATTTAACTTAAATATTTTAAATAAACATATAATACATGAGTGTTTTAAGTTTTGCATTTACACTTTTAATTTGAAGCTTAAATTTCTAAAATAAATATTTAAACAAATTCTTCTAAATTCATACATGTTCTTCAGTTTCTTAGATGTGGGATTGAGTAGGCAAATGGCAAAGAATTTCATTGAAGTTAATTATTAAGAAAAGAGGTGACTACATAAAATTTTTTAAATTACATCATAATTTTCCTGTGTGATTAAGGCATTTTAAGTCCTTTCATAAGGGCTTAAAATGAGTAAGGGGGCTTCATAAGTTTTCTCTACAAAGCAATGAATACTCATCTGTAATTTTTATATCACAGTACTGCTGAGTTTTATGGATTCTAATTATTTTACAAATAATTACAGTTTAAAAACATAGTGGGAATTTTTCCCTGAGCCTTATAGGTTTGGAAAACAGTAACTAAACCACAATAAATTCATCAGTATAGACCCTTTTGAAGAAGGATGTATAAGAGGATTTTTCCCTGTCTCCCCATTGTCACCCCACTGAATAATGGGCAGGTTCTGCTCTTTCTGGTCCCATTTTTGCTAGCTCATCAATACACATTGTGCTTGGACTCATTTTCTCTAGACAAGTGGACAACTAGCTTCAACAGCCAAACATCCCAGCAAGCATCTAATATTCTTAATTCTGAAACATCAATATTTTGTCAGTATTAGCACTCTTATATATTCTTATATAATAAGAATATTCTCTTATATTCTCTTATAATAAATTAAGATCTATATTTCTTCTTTATATGAGTAGTTAATCTCTGAACTCTGATTTTTATAGGAATGATTTTATATATGAAGTGTACAGCTATCCATTTTATTCACATTTTCTTTGAAACCTCATCATCATTGTAATTTGGTTTTATGAGAAGAAATATTCACTTTGAGAGTATATCTGCATTCATTACAAGTTTTGCTTGTATAAAATTCTGGCAGAAAACAAACATTATCATAAATGTTTAATAAAAGTTCCAATGCTGATTAAAATGATTTATATTTGAAAACATAATTGTGTTCTTCTTGATTTACATTTTATTCTACTGATGATATACACATTAAGTCAGTAGAATATAAGCTCTTTGGGGTCAGTCATTTGTTTACTGTTTCATTCTCACTGCTTAGAAAAATCTGTGGCTCCCAATAGAATCTCAACAAATATTTATTGAATGAATAAAAGAATGAGTAATTGAATCAATGAATTACCCTCAAGAAGCCTCAAATTTCCTTATTTATAAAATTATGGGTGTTATGTAATAATTTCCAAATCCATTATGTAAATAAATTATATATAATTGTATCTTTGTGTCTCCAGTTTCTATACAGTATTCAATGTACATAAGCATCAAAATATTTAGTTTGTGACAATGACAGAAATTAGAGTACTTGAGGCATTTAAAAGCTAGAAAATAACAAGCAATATTATTCACGAGAAAGCAGTGAACACCATGACTAAATTTGATTTGCAC